ATACTCCCTGGCAGAACTGAGCCTTTTTGGGGTCAACTAACACAAGAATGCAGCCAGTAGCACATGGCCTCCAGACAGAACCTAGGCCCTCCCTCTTGGGACACTGAATGCCCCTATAGTAGTTTTGGTTTAGAGAGAAGCAGGTACTAGCAGACAAAGACAGCTGCCTCTAGGGAGTGGGAGATGGCTAGGCAAAATGCCATTTTTCAATGGAGAAGTTTGGCTCAGGTCTGCAAAGAGATCCTGTCCAACAGGAATCTGTTTGACTCCCAGCTTTGGTGTTCCTCTAACCTCAGTACATAACACTCAGTAGCCTCTGGGTTCATTTATCACCTGGACTTCTGTAGCCACTTCTGATATGACAGAAGTGCTCCCTCCAGTTCATCACGATCACTGCTTTCTCACTGACTTCTCTAGTTCACAGACATGAGCAGGTTATTCCTCTCCTTTACAAACTGCTGGGGTAGTGATACTTCCCTGGAGATTCCCATGGCCTGCTGCATATCTGGAGCAGAGGTCCAAAGTTAGCATGGGCACCATAGGAACTTCATAGCCCTATACAACTTCCCTGTGGATCTGCTCCCTTTCCTTGCCCCTCTATCCATCACCCTGGGACCCATCTACACTAACCTTTTTTTTCCAGGCACCAAATATCTTCTGACCATTTAACTCCATCCACTACAGGATGAGTGTCCTGACTGTGGGGAGCTTGCCAGGATTGAGAAACCTGAGAGAAGGCAAACAATCAAGGTGGGGCCAACAATCAACGCAGTTATTGGCATGGAGGTACTTTGCAGTCTATGGCCGAGGAAGAGGGAATCCAAGAAGCATGTGGCAGTCTTGCTGAGTTGTGGATTTTGATATTACTCCATTTTGCAAGCAGTATACTAGAGAGAAGGGAACTTGGCATGGAGAGAGTCCAAAGTATTGCACAAAGTTCTCACTGAGTTTATGACCACATACTAACTCTGCATGCTCAGATCGAGAAACCACAAGTTTGGGCACAGAACATCCACCAGGAGCTATAAGACGGAGAGCTACCAGAGCTTACACAGTGTCCCCACCAGCCAAAGTGGAGATATCATACTGCAGTCCCCAGATGCTCATCGCAGAACCCGGTAAGGTCGTACATTAGGAGAATGGCTCAGGTAGCTCTATAAGACCTACATTAACAAAACTTAAAAACAAACCTTGAAAGGCTCAGTCTGGTCTGTAAGTAAACAAACTGTATAGTGGAAAGAAACTGGACACAGAGATAAGATAAACAAAACGTTGACACTTAACAACATGACAACCAAAATGTCTGGCCTCTGTGGAAAACGTCTAGATATGTGAAGGAAGGAAACATGATCCCTAACCAAGGGGGAAATGTGCCAGTAGGTCCAGAAATGGCAAGGGTGATGGGGTTAACACACAGGGAATTAAAGACAGTTATTGGAAATCAATATGTTCCAGAATTGAAAGGGAAACATAAAAATAATGAAGGAAGCAATGAGGAAAAGTCTCAATAGGAAAATGATATCTATAATGAAGAACCAAATAGAAAGTCTGGAACTGAAAAATACAGAAGAGGAAATATGGAATACCGTCATAGACCCACAGGTGCACAACTAAGTTTTGACCAACACTCCAAATAAAATCAGTGTCAAAATGAAAATCTTTCAAATGCATCCTGACCCCACACCTCCCCCCAAATACAAAAATTAATTTAGGTACATCCTAAGACCTAAATGCAAAGCTAAAACTACAGGGCTTCTAGAGGAAAACAAGACAATACCTTTGCAAATGTGGGTCAGGGAAAGATCTCTTAGGCAGGACCCAGAAACTATTCACTATAGAAGAAAAGAAATAATGCAGTGGACCTCATCACAGTTAAATCCATCTGCTTATGAACAGACACCACTAAGAATGTGCATAGCCAAGACACAACACGGAGAAAATAGTCCCAACAGGTATATCTTATAAAGGGTTTGTATCCAGAGTATTTTGACAATTTGCACAAGTCAATAATGAAACAAAGGCAAGGACCCCACTTGAAAACTGGGCAAGAGACTTGAATAGGCAGTTCATTAAGGAGGATAGCTAATAATCACACAAAAAAGTGTTCCATATCATTAATCATCACAAAAATGCAAATTGATATCACAATGAGATACCACAATGAGTCACTGACCAGAATGGCTTAAAGTTCAAAGCTGACAACACAAAATTTTTGAGAACCTCAAGAAACAGGCACTACTGATGGGAGTACAGATTGTCATAACAGCTTTGGAAATCTGTGAGGAGTTTCTTATAAAGTTAAACATGGCCCTATTCTGTGGCCCAGCCATTCCAATGCTAGGTATTTATCCAAGAGAAAGGAAAACAAAAGTCCACAAAAAGACTCACAAACGGATGTTCACATAAGCTTTGATCACACAACAATATTAGTAACACACACAACTCTAGAAATCTTGGTAACAGAAACATGCCAGGAGCTGCAAATTGATGATTGTACAGTAGGTGCAGCTGTAGGGCTCATCAGCTTGGCGCCAACGTAAGTCTTGCTCCTGTTTTGTGAAGCAGTGACATGTGTCTTGCTCTGCCTTCTTCCAACTTTCTTGTTTGATTCCTCAAAGAAATAAAAAAACCACCATTTAACACATGCACTCACACAGAAACTCACACATCTTCTCGTTCGTTCACTCATACATTAACACATGTACACTCATCCGTTAGCACATATTCCTCTCCCCATCACCCTGGGACCCAGCTACACTAGCCTTTCATTCATATAAGCACATATTCACTCATACTCATACACTCACTAACTCACACAAACTCATACATACTCATACTCACACACCAGACATTTTCACTCATGAACACTTTCACACACACTCACATACATTCACTGACACAAATCCACTTATACGCATTAACACTCATAAATATACACTTGCACACCCACATAGTCACATTCACTCACACACGGTTATGTACACACAAACTTACACATGCTCACAAACTCATACATACAGTCACACACAAGACACATTAACCCACATACACATTTACACACACACGCATTAACTGACATCTGCTCATTTCACTCTCATGCTCATATATAGACACACACATTGACACACATTTTCACTGAACACACTAACACATATAAACATACATCCACATAAACCTACATACTCATATAGTCACACACAGTCATGCACATACAAAGTAGCACATACTCAAATGTTTACACTCAGCACACACATTTACGTACATTCACTAGCACAGTCTTACATACTCAATCACATATTCACTCACATTTACTGACACACATATAAGCACACTTCACAAACTCATACTTACTCATACAATAACATGGGCTGGCCTGATTTTGATGCTCTAGGTCTTGACGCCCTGAGCCCCAATAAAACAGTAAGGGATCCCTGGGCCTCTGGCTACTGCTTGCTGTCCTTTGCCCTCCCTTATTCCTGGAAGTTCTGTAAGTGCCCGGAGAATCCAGACAGCCACTGAACACTCCCACCAATGTCCTATTCACCGACACCATCTGGCTCTGCTTAGTTTTGTTCCCTTGCCAAGGCCCATAAGCCACTGTTCCCTAGATGTCTACCATCTTTTGCAATTAAGACACTGCAAAGCTCTCATGGACCTTACCCCACACGTACTCCCATGTTGACCAGGTCACTGTTTCTCCCTACACCCACATCCCCAGCAGACCCTTCCGTCGATTGCCCACAGCAGAGGCGAGACTCAGCTGACACATGCAATGAAATTTATTGAAGAGAAACATTTACTGAAACCATCGGAGAGAGGGAATGACAACAGAGACAGGAGCGTCCAACGGCCACTAGAGACCATAGGTCACGGCCCCCCTCCCCTTGGGGTCCCAAACGAGGTGCCTCTGCTTCCCCCGACACCGTGGCCCTCCTGCCTCAGCCTCCCTTCCTGAGGGCCCCACGATCAACCTCTGGCCAGGACGGTGGACGCTGGTCATGTCCCCTCACTCCAGGGCACCCTCCCCTCTGGCCGACATGCCGGGGCCTGGTCCTGCCCTATGGCCTGCACAGGACAGTCCCAGGACGCTGGAAAACGCAGCATGGGACCCTGGGCCAAGCCAAGGAAACGGAGTCGCGAGGAACAACAGGGTGGCACATCAGAGCACAGTTCCCGTGGAGACTCCCGCTGGCCACCTCCATCCTTGGTCCGGTTCTTCCTCCCTGAGGTCACGGGGTGAACACCAGCCGTGCCCTCGGGCATCCTTCCCGCCGTCTCCCGGAACTGGGCTCGGGATTTCCGGGGGGCGGGGGGGCGGGGAGGGCAGCTGCTCAGATAAGAAAACACACACGTCTCCGCAAGAACAAGCAGCGGTTGGCCTAAATGTACCCCGAGAAAGCAGAGGTTGAGCTCACAACACTGGAAGAGAGCGAGCAGAGCCTTGCTTCCCGCTGAAGCTCATGGCACGCACCCGGGCTGAGAGGTGGCGGCCCCGGTAGGCCAGGACACCACCCACGGCGGGTTCCTGCACACCTCAAGGCTCTGCACAGGAATGGTCGCTAGTGGGGTGGGGGAGTAACTTGACACGTGGGTCACTAAGGGCCCCACAGAGACCCAAGCGGGCTTCCCAGAACATGGAGCAACGTGCCCTAGTGGGTCAGTGAAAGGGGTCCCTTCTCCTGGGAGGCCCAAGAGATTGGCACCCTTGAGATGGCCCCTAACATCTCCCAGTACAGTGTGGGTGGCAGACATTTTCAGGTGCCCCTCATCTAGACTGGGGCTGACCATTCAAGGGATGCCCCAAGCCAGCTCCCCAAGTTGGCAGGGATTGGAGCTGGCCTTGGCATTGGCAGCTGCTGAACTGTGGTTCACCAGGCCAGTCCCAGGTCTCCTTGTCTATGGTCTCCCGGTCTCCAGTGGCACTGTACAAAAAAAGCAGAAACACCTCCCACCGTCAAGTCCTCCCTCTTCCTCCTCTTCTCCTCTCCCTTCTCCTTCTTTTCCTCCTTCACCTCTTCCTCTTCCTCTCCTGTACATTTTTCTCCTCCTCTTCCTCTTTCTCTTCCTCTTCCTCTTCCGGCTTTGGGAGAAAAGTTTCTCTGCACACCCAGTCACACCAAAGCCAGCTGTGGGGTACTGGCCTGCCAGGTACCCAGCACCCCACTCCCCATGCTGAGCCAAGGCTCTGGCCCAGGGATCTTTTCCTCACAGTCTTTGCTCTCCTTGCTCCCATAGCCCTTCCAGGCTGCAGGGGAAGGAAGCTGCCCATAGGCTGGTGCTATGCTCCCAGGGCTTTCACTTGCACAGTGGCTCGAGGGTGCTGCCTTCTTGGGGCTCCCCTAGAGCAGTGCAGAAGATCCTGAAGACGGGCTAGATCATGTGGCCTTCCCTCCAGGGCATCACCTCTGTGCTATGCAGCTCTTCCTTGCTTGAGCCGACTCCTTTCGGCAGGGCTGGCCAGGCCCAATGTGGCCTAGGTGCCAGTAGGCATCTTTAGCTTGGAGCCCATGGGGTGGGGATTTGGGGGTGGCCAGACGATGGGGTTGATGACTGGGTCCCCAGCTGCACCTTCTTCAGCCTCTGCTGTGTTGGGAGTCTGCCTGCCATTGTATCTCCGGCACCTCTTCAGGGCACTGTTCTTGGCCATCACTGAGCCCCATATGGCTTGGTAAGTGGAGTCCCTTTCAGATGATAGAGGATGAGGGGGCTCAGCCTGGGCCTGGCTTCTTTGCCCCTCCGCCGCACTCAGGTACCCTGCTGTTTGTGTGGACTGCCCCTTTCCCTTCTTCCAATAACTCTTCCATTTCCTTGGCCTGTAGTAAGAGCTGCCCTGTTCTCCCGAGCCTACTTGGCCTTGGGCTTGGGGTGGCTCTTTTCCCAAGCCCAGTTCCCATTTCCCGGCTCTACTGCAGCCTGTCTCTTCTGCTTTACCAAGAGCAGGTTTGGAGCGTTGCTACACTGTGCCTTGACGTGGCCATCTTCTCCACAGCGATAGCAAAATGTGTGGTGCTTCCGTTTGCCTGAATGTCGAGGGCTGGCCCTTGGCACACGCCCCCTTCGGTGTTGTCCTCTGCCCCTCCTGCGCCTGGAGCCTTGGGAAGACCTGGCCCGCACAGCGTTGCCAGGGGCAGGGAAAGACACTCTGAAAGCACTGTTTCTGGCAGATGACCCTATGCCTGCGTTCAGCCCTGGTATCCTTTCCCTCTCTGGACCCAAAGTGGCCTCCCATTCCTCCTCCTCACGCAGGAGCTTCACCAGTGCCAGGAAACCAGGTGGTTTCCTTCGCTGTTTCATCAACTTAAGCCTGTCTCGAAGTTTGTCAGTAAGGGTAGCCCCACTTAAGACTTGTTTCAGGCGAGCCTGATTCACATTCCTTCGTAATACTGCATTTTTTTCTACGGCTCTTTGGAGCAGGGGTTCCAAACGCAGGACAAAGCTGGAGACTTTCTCTCCTACCTCTTGATAAGCCTTACAAAATTTTACATGGGCGATTTTACGGCTCTCCACAGGTCCAAACACCTGCTGCAGGGCTGCCAGGCACTCGCCCACAGTTACGCCAGCATTGTTGGCCCGCAGCCCACTGACCACCTGCAGGGCAGGACCCCGCAAGCATTCCATCAGCCGCCGCCTCTTTTCACCCTCGGGCACCTGCCACATCCGCAGCATTTCAGTGGTGTGCTCCAGCCAGGCTTCAAAGGCCAACGCCCCTGGGATGGACACAGTGTTCCCAGAAAACACTCTTAGTTCTCTGTACAACATTTGTTCTAGCAGAGGTTGCACTGCTGCCCCCAGAGTCTGGGCCCAGGTCCAGAAGTCGGGTGATATGGCCACTCTTGGAGCAGGACAGTTGGTGTCCGATCCAAGCACTCTGTTCATGTCTGACACTGTCCGCCTCTCCTCCTCTAAGAAGCGGTTCAGTCTATTGAGAAATTCCCCATCGGAGTTCCGAGGTTTCACAACCACTTCCCAGGGCCCTCCCTTTCCGGGTATTTCCCTGGGGATCAAAGCATAGTCAATATCTTGGGCAAGCTCCAAGAGAAATGCTTGGGCATTCTCTTCCCTCCTAAACATCCTACCAATGACCCTATACCTGCCCAGGTGCCTGAGAGCCTCCTGAAGAGTCTCCTCAAATTCATCCTCACCACAGTCCTCAGGAATCCCCAGGATAAGCATGGACCGCTGGGTGTTCAGATGTTCCCCCCTACACCAATCCTGCAACAGGGTCAATGGCATGTCCCCAGTCTCTGCGGAGTCCAATTTAGGGGGGAAAGGATCACTGCGTGATGCACATATATCTGGGCCAACTCCCAGGACGACAGCAGACAGCCCAGGTCTCCGCAGCCTGTGAATACGAACGGGGCGAGAGCGAGGTTAACGCCGACGCCCCCCTCGCACCCCCAGGTGACCCTACTCCCCCGGG